CTTTCGCTCTTTCCCTCCCTCTACCCCTCCCTCCTTCCCTCCTCCCTCTTCCCTCCTTTCCCTCCTTCCCTCCCTCCCTCCTTCCCTCCCCTCCTTTTCCTTCCTTCCCTCCACCCTCCTTCTACCCCCCTCTTTCTTCTTTCTTCTTTCTTCTCTTTCTTTTTTTCTTTCCTCTTTCTTCTCCCTCCCTCTTTTCCTCCCTCTCCCTCCCTCCCTCCACTCCCCCTCCCTCCCTCCCTCCCCCTCCCTCCCTCCCTCCCTCCCTCCCTCCCTCCACTCCCTCTTCCCTCCCCCTCCTCCCTCCACTCCCCCCCTCCCTCCCTCCCTCCCTCCCTCCCCCCCCTCCTTCCTCCACTCCCTTCCTTAATCCGCAGTGGTGAAAACCCGCGTCAAGAAGCAGCGCAAGAACAAGGTCATCTGCAAGAAGGCGCGAGTGTACAAGTCGGAGGATTCGGAGGAGGCGCGGCAGGCACTCCGCCGGCCGCGCTTCTCTCTGACGGGGTCGGCCGGTTGCTGCCAGATCCAGGCGTCGCGCACGGCCTACCTCATCATGGCCAGGCGGAAGGGCCAGGAGCTCGTGCCGACGTTTGTCATGCCCTTCAGGAAGTCCAAGGTGAGGCGACGTGGTGCTTCGTAGAGAGGGGAGAGGTAGAGGTATTTTTTTCTTCTTTCTTTCTTTCTTTCTTTAGTTTTTTTTTCCTTATTTTCTTTCTTTCTTTTATCTTTAGGTATCATTTGCTGGAGTTGTTTCCTTCTTCTTTCTTTCTTTCTTTCTTTTATCTTTAGTTATCATTTGGTGGAGTTGTTTCCTTCTTCTTCTTTCTTTCTTTCTTTCTTTCGTTATCATTTGCCTTCTTCATCTTATCATCCTTCTTCTTTAGTTAGCATTTGCTGGAGTTATCTTTAGTTGCCCTTCTTCTTTCTTTATTGGTATCATTTATTTTTTTTTTTCTTTCATTGATTCTTTTAGAAAGTGTGGGGTAGGGGTTAGGGCTTTAACTTTTTTATCTGTGTGGTTCCGTGGTTCGTCTGTGGCTACGTGAGTGTAAGGCAGTGGTTCCCAACAGGAGGGACTCGACCAAAGGGGGGGGGGCTACCAGGAGGTCGTGAAGCCTAGGGGGGAAATATTGTAAGCCAATTTGCTATATCAAGAATGTAATATAATACCAAGAAATAGGGTGTCACAATTAGGCAAATAGACTGATACATGTGCACTTCCTTTTTACTTAAAATAGTTAATTGAAACTTGTCTAACAATTAGGTAAATAGACCGCTAAGGTTGCACTTCCCTTTACCTTAAAATGGTTAATTGAAACGTCTAACAATAAGGTAAATAGACTGCTAAGTTTGCACTTCCCTTTACCTGCAAATAGTTAATTGAAACTTGTCTAACAATTAGGTAAATAGACTGCTAAGTTTGGCAAATAGTTAATTGAAACTTGCAATTAGGTAAATAGACTGCTAACTTCGCACTTTCCTTTACCTTAATATAGTTACTTGAAACCTGTACAACAATAAGGTAAATATCCCGCTAAATGTACTCTTCCCTCTACTTTAAAATAGCCACTTGATACATAAAAATGGATTATCTGATACATATAAAGATAGCCCGCTAAATGCACTCTTCTCTCTACTTTAAAATAGCCACATGGTACACATAAATGGAATATAAATAGATTATAAATAGAATATAAATATAAATATAAAAATAAATATATAATTATAAATATAAATAGAATTAAATAAATTGATACATATAAATGGATTATCTGAGGAGGGCAGACGTGAAGGAGGTTTGAGGAAGGGATCGCGAGTGTAAAGAGCTTGGGATCAGCTGGCCGGTCAGGAGGGAGGTCTTGAGGCGGCGGCGATGGCTCTCGGCGGGTTTGGCATTTCCTCGCTTCTCTGTCGTTTCCTTGCTTCTCTGTCGTTTCCTCGCTTCTCTGTCGGGAAGTGAGGGAAACGGAGGTCGATCTTTATTCTTGTTTACTTATTTCGATCTTTATTCTTGTTTACTTATTTCGATCTTTATTCTTGTTTACTTATTTCGCGGTTCATGAGAGTTGTCTGTCTGGTTGTATGATGCGTATCAGGATTCTGTGTCTTATTCTGGTTGTTTCTGGTATCGGTTTTGTCTTTTCTTGTGTGGTGGTTAGGAGGAGGGAGAGGGAAAGAGCGAGAGAGAGAAAGGACGAGAGATAGACACAGGGAAAGAGCGAGAGAGAGAAATGACGAGAGAGAGACATAGGGAAAGGGTGAGAGAAATAAGATTCAGCCACGGCCACAAATGATATAAAATCGAGAGCAGACAAAACCCAAATAACCTGACTCCATTCCCGCCCCGCAGCCCCTCCGCATGGCGCTGAAGAAGTTCCGCGGCCTCGACTGCTCGGACCCGCAGTTCATCAACGGCGGCCTCGACATCCCGACGCTGAGCCAGGAGCCGCCCCAGCGCAGCCCGCGCCCCAGCAAGAGACCCGGGAAGGGCCGCAGGAAGCCCAAGGGCCGCCGAGGGCGCAAGAGGGGTCGCGTGCCCCGCCCCCCGCCCTCCTCTCCCCCCGAGGGCGCGGACGGCGCCATGGGGCCGGCGCTGCCCTCGCCCGCCTCGTACCCCACCCTGGCCATGGCCACGCCCCCTCCGCCGTCGCCCCCGCCGTCGCCCGTGCTGGAGAGCGACCAGAGCCTGCGCTTCCTGCAGGAGAACGAGCTGGAGGGCCACACGCCGCCCTCCATCGACCCCCCGACGCAGCACAACGACGCGGAGGCGCAGGACGACGGCGACGGCGACGCGGAGGAGGGCGAGGACGGCGCCGCGGAGGGACCCGGCGAGAAGCGGCGCGGGCGGAAGCGCGGGCGGCGGCAGCGGAACAAGGCGACGAGGAGAGACAGACGCAAGAAGGGGCGGGGCGGCGACGAGGAGGAGGAGGAGGAGGCGACCGCGGAGCCCTGAGGAGGAGGGGGAGGAGAGGGGAGGAAGGAGGGAGCAGAAACGGAGAGATGGAGAAGAAGAAAGAGACAGAGAGGTTAAAACAGAGAAAAAAATCGACCCGACGGCCAGTAAACCCAGTGACAGCCTTTGATTATTATCTTTAGTTGTTTCTTTTTTTATTTTTTCCTTGTTTCGAGTGATTATTTATCTTGCTGATCATTTTAATTCGCTCTGTTGTCATTATTGTGCCATGATCTTTTGTTTGTTTTTAGAGGTCTTATCCAGATGTTTCAAAATTAATTTTGTTTTACATTTACGAAAAAAACATGTAAAAAAATAAATCACAAAATCACAGAAACTGGGCGACGGAAAAGAAGAGAGAAAATAAGTGAATAGACAATAGATGTACAGCATGTGACGTATAAAATGTAGATAGGCCTAGGGATAGCGTGTCTAAAAGATGTTCTTTTATTTCAGTAATGTCTTTTTGGATTCCTTTTTTTTCTCAAAATAAACCACGCATAATTTCTCAGCCAATAATACTTCATACAAAGCTCTTTCACACATATTCATAGTGTATGTTGTGACTTTTTTGTAAAGGTGTGGCAAGTGACCTATAGCAGGGGTCATGCGTGTAAACTCTTTATATTTAAAAAAAGATATTGTAAAAAAATGACCTTTCTAAAGACTCAATCGGTCTTTTTTTATTAATTGACTGACCGAAATGAGTGATCTAAAAAAAAAAAGTAGGATTAACTTAATTAAAAGGAGGTAATAATTACGGTATATTATATTCACGCTAGCTGTGTGAGGTAAAGTATAATTCATAGCTCATTGTCGTGTGCATTTCCCTTGTCTAACTTCTCCTATTTTATTCCTATTTCATTTTCTCTTATACTCATCTTCTGTTTCTATCTTTCATCATCATAGAACAACTCAAAATGATTTCCTTTTTTTCCACTGAGGATTTTTTTAGATACTTTTTTGTGTGATAATAAAAGATAAGAAGTATTGTAGACGTAACAATGTCATTGCAGATAACTGTGTTTTCGGGTATTACACGAAGAAAGAATCCGATTTGAATGTGTAGTTATTATTGGATACTCTAAGGATTAACTCGTAGGTTATAAATGGAAAAGGATGTTTTTATTAAGCCGGCAAAGTCACTGATTGGGTATCTGCTCATATGACGTCAGAGTTCCCTGATTGGTTGATGGGAAGCTCGCTTGCGTCATCGTTGTTACCGGTTTTGATTGGTCGATGAGGGAGGCTCGTGTCGCGTTCTGATTGGCTGTAAAAGGTTGATTATCTATACCAGTCTCCGATTGGCTACGGAAGATAATTATAGATGATTTAGAATCTAGCAATATGAAATTAACCTGAGATCTAAAAATAGCTCATAGAATATTTTGTAAACGATAAACGAATAGTAAATTAGGAAATATGTATACATAGATATACATGCAAACATACATACACAAAAATAGATTTAAGATTAGCAATGGCGATCATTTTTTTGCAAGACGAAAGACGCTCTCTTATCAGCCAATCACAAGCCAGCAACGAAAAATGCCGGTCAATTAACTAAAGAAGAAAAAAAATACAAGAAATACGTAAAAATTAGATAAAATAAAATCCTGTTTTTATATATATATGCATCCAAGTTTTACACAATGTCCATATTCCAAAAAGAAAACAAAAACACCGACAAACACGTTTTAAAATTGAATAAACTGAACAACCGTTTTTTTTAGAAGACTCAAGGTTAAATGTCGAGTAAAAGAATATAGGAAAATGGTCTTTATAGCATGTCAGATCTATTTCCAAAAGGTTTTAAGACACCCATCAATCATTTCTTTTCTTAAGTCATTCTAAAAATACATTGATAAAGGGGGGGGAGAGCTCCTCATAAGTCATAAGTCATTGTTTAAGTGTAAGTTGGTCTCTGTTAGATATAGGTCAATAAAAATAATTACCAAAATGGTGTTTTATTTCGCTCATTTTGAAAATATTTTGGATAATTTTTTTGACTTTGTTGGTTATGAAAAATTACGTTATTATCACTTTATCTATTATTGTTATGAATTATAGTTATGATAAAGATAACAACAATTGTTTGTTTTTATTATCTTGTCATTTTATTATTGCTATTGCCATTATAACTGTTGTAGCTATTTTTTTTCCTTTTGTTATATTTATTATTATGAATTATAATTATGATAATGATAGCAACAATCATGATAGTTATCATCATCATTTATCACTATTACCATTATTACTGTTCTAGCTATTTTTTTTTATTATCAATATCAGTACATTGGCTTTTAATAATAATAGTTATCTTCATTATCATAATCAGTGTGATATTTTTTCTGTTATTTATTGCCATTACTAACCACATTACAATTATGAGACTATCATAGTATCTAGTGTTATGTACTATTATTTTTATTATTATCCTTATTATAATTTTTACTATTGGTTTTATTATTGGTAGTAGTAGTAGTGATATTACTATAATTGTTATATTTATTGTTATCCTTATATTGTTATTATTGTTGTTGTTGCTGTTATTGCTATGATTTTATTATCATCATCATTTCTATTATTATAATCATAAATATTAGCGGCAGCACTAACAGCACTATTATCATTGTCATTATTATTGACATTATTATTATCATTATAATTACTATTATCTTTGTTATTATATTATCTTATATTATTATTATTATTATTATTATTATTATTATTATTATTATTATTATTATTATTATTATTATTATTATTATCATTATCATTATTATTATTATTATCATTATTATTTTTTATTATTATTATTATTATTATTATTATTATTATTATTATTATTATTATTATTATTATTATTATTATTATTTATTATCATCATCATCATCATCATCATATCATTATATCATTATTATTTATTATTATCATTATTATTATTGGTGTTATCGTTTTTGTTATAATTATAATCCTTTTTATTGTTGTTATCTATCATCATTTATTATCATTATTATTATTATCAATAAATTATTATCATTATATTATCATTATATTATATTATTTTTTTTTATTATTATTGTTATTATTTTTATTATTGTTGTTGTTCTTATCATTATTACTAATATCAATATCATCATTATCATTATCATTATTATTATCATTATTATTATTATTGATATCATTATTATTATTATTATTATATTATTATTATTATTATTATTATTATTATTATTATTATTATTATTATTATTATTATTATTATTATTATTTATTATTATTATCATTATTATTATTTATTATTATTATTATTATTATTATTATTATATCATCATTATTATTATTATCATCATTATTATTACTAATATTATCATTATTATTATTATTAACATTATCATCATCCCAATTTATTATCATTATCATTATTGTCATTATTATTACTGCTATTACTATTATCATTATTATTATCATCATTATCATTTTTAGCATTCCATTATCATCATTATTGCTGTTATCATTATTAACACTGTTATTGTTGTTTTGTTATGATCTTTATTATTATCGTTATTGGCATTATCATCATTATCCTTGGTATTATAATTATCATCATTATTACTGCTACTACTACTACTACTACTTTTATTATTGTCATTATTATTTTGTTATTATTTTTCCTATTGTTGCTACCATTATCATTACTATTTTTGTTATTTTCAATATACTTTGATAAGCACTATCATTATCATAATTCAATTTTATAATTATCATTACCATTGATATCATTACTATTATAATTATCATTTTTGATATTATCATTCTTATCTTTACCATCGTTATGAGTATCATTATCATTATCATTTTGGTTATTATTATAATGAGTATCATTGACGTTTTTTATCAATATTTCCATTGTTATTTTTATGATTATTACTATCATTATCATTATTTTTACTGCTTTTCTAATTTTTGTTAGTACTATGATTTTTATGATTAATATTTTTTTTTTATAATTATCATTACTGTTATCATCATTATCATTTTTTATATTTATTATTATCATCATTATCATTATTATTACTACTACTACTATTATTGTTGTTATTATTACAATCATTATTATTGTTACTATCATCATTATCGCTATTATTATTATCATTAATACTATCATTAATATTACTATCATTGCTATTGATGTTATAACTATTATTATTATTATTATCAATATTATTATTATTATCATTATTATCATTACTATTATTGTTATTGTTATTGTTTTGATAATGATAATAATAAGTGTTGCTATTATTATTATTATTATTATTATTATTATTATTATTATTATTATTATTATTATTATTATTATTATTATTATTATTATTATTATTATTATTATCATCATCACCATCATTATCCTTATTACTACCACTATTAATATTGTTACAACCATCATCACTACTTGATTTGCTATTACCATTTTCATTGATTTTATTACCAATGATGATGACAATGGCGCTGAATGTAAGAATAACAATAACAACAAGAAAAAT